AGCGGAGAAGGGAGGAGGGGGCGCAAAGAGAGGGGAAAAAAAAAGAAACAGTTTAGTGAACGTTTATTGATGATTACATCAAATATTTAAAGCACTCTTTCGAAAGTTGACTGCTAAAGAGATGGCTTTTTGGTTTGAATTGTTAACTGAAGCATAGTTTTCCTGGAAAAAATGCTTGCAATAAGCTTGATTAGTGCCGGTGTATTTTCCAGAAACCCTCCCTCCCGTTTCCCTGTTTTCGTCATCCTTTCTCTCTCGTTGTTAAATTCATTGCGGCGGGGCAATGTCCACCGTTAACAGCATCCTTATTTTATCCTACTATTCCTCTTCATATTTCACTCAATCTTTCCGATTCTCATCTTCCTCCTCTTTCCTCGTCTTCCAAACTTTTGTTGTTCGTTTTCTTCAATTTTTCAATCAAAAAAAACATTAATAGACATAAAGTAATTTTTTTCCTTTGGCTTTTTCTTTTTTTTTGAGTTTATCCCCCAAAATCTACGCCATTTTGCTAATCTGTTAAGGCAGCTTTGACTGATTAAAGCAGACTGGAAGCTACTAGTTTTCATTACAAATAAACATTATTGGAAAACAACTTATACTGTTGTTGTTGTTGTTGGCTACTGCTACTGCCATGGTTTCGCAAAAAAAGGATTCTTTTATGCGTGTTTTACAGAAGAAAAAGTTATTTTTTTGTAGATTGTCTCCAGTTAATCTGCCTTTCTCAGATAAGACCGTTGTTATTGCATTTGCCCCGTCGTCTATCGTAACCATTTGTATAGTTATCACTGTTATTTTTGATACGGTTGTTGCTGCTGATGCTGTTGTTGTCTAATATAAGATTGATGCTTGTAAACAGAAGGAAAGAAAAGACGACGGAAAAAAAAAAACAAGGAAAAGAAGAGTCTATTTTGATTTTTTTTTTGGAAAATTTTTCAATTAAATTAACGGAACAGGAGAAGAAAAAAAAACCAAGCAACAGCAAGCCGGCAAACTAAACTTACTGAAAATGTCGTTTGATTTTTTAGGTACTTAATGCATCGTTTTTTAATGTATATTAGAAAAAAAAATTTTTTTTTTGATAAAATTTTAACATTTTTTTGCGTTTGAAAAAAAAAAACATGCAAAAAATATATTGAAATGTTGTCTTCAAATATATCGAAGTGTTTTTCCACACGTTTTGTTGTTCTTTCAATTGCTAACAAAAGACAAAAAAAGACAATTTTTTTTCGCTTTTTATCAGTTCTAAAATCTCGTATGCCGTCTTTTTCCTTCTATTATGCTTTAGTTTGATTTAGTATTATTTTCATATTTTTTTCATATTCAAAATCTTGGTATTATTATTTTTTTTCCTTGCTGTATCCACCTTTTACTAATGCCGATTTGTTTAAGTTGTCAATTACAAATAGCCGTTTTTGATTTGATAACCACCATAACACAAATAAACACACATCTGTTTATCAAATGTAAAAAAATGTGAACTGCTGATGTGAAAAAAAAGTTTAGAAAAATTGTCAATTTATTTTTTTATAGATTTTTAGAACAGTTTTTTTTTTCGTTGCGGAAGAAGGAGAGGAAGATAGAGAAACTGGTAGAGGGAGGAAAAGGCATTTTGATTGAAATATGAGTTTACCTTTTTAGATAAGCATTTTTTTCTATTTGCTTAAACGATAAACTAAACTTGTTGGTATTTTCCGTTTAGTAGATAAGTTAAACAAATCTGTTCTGAAAAAAAAAAAAAAAACGAATACTGAATAAATTGTCAACTGAGTAAATGGGATAGAGTATATTTTTTATCGATGAACATTTTTTTTGCTTCTATGTGTGTGTGTGTGTGTGTGTGTTGTGTTCGTTAAGTTTAACACGATTCAAACCTGAATATTGAAGAAAAAAGTTGGTTTTATTTAGCTCTTTATAGCTGTAATCAGTCAATGTTTATATCTTGCTTTTTTTTGCCTCTGTTGATATTCAAGTGAACAAAAAAAAAGAAAATGATGTATAAAAAAAGGTATGGATAGTCAATTATCTATTTGTTTCGACAAAGGATCATTTAGGTTTATCAGAATAAAAGTCATTGTTATTATTAGTATTATTAGTATTATTAGTATTATTATAATTATTGCATATTTGTCGTTTAGATTCTCATTAATATTTACAAAAAACTTGAAATATTTCTTCTACTTTTTATTTCTTTCTCTATTCTTTTTTGTTGGACATCAGACATGGTCGTCGGTTGAAAATGTGTCTATTCTTACGCTGGTTTTGCATATCCCTTTTTTTCCTTAGTTTTAACTATTCTATAGACATTTAGTTATTGTTGATATTTTTTATCAGCTAAATTCTTTTTTATGTCTATTTTTAGACGATGCTGAGAAGAGTTAGTAAAGAAAAAAGTGAAGAAATTTGTGTGCTGTATATCACGAACAATTTTTAATGATCAACTCACTAAGGTAAAATTCTAGTCAAAAGATGGAGAATTGCAAAAAAATGCTTTTTTTTAACCGCTGATATAGTGTAAAACTAAACTATGTGAAAAAAAAGCTGCTTTACGTCTAACAGACAGCCTTTCAAATTATGCTGGAGTCAGACCATTATTGGGGTAAAGGAAAGTTAATAGAGCTCACACTGAGTAATCGGTTATATAGCCTTTTTTTCTTGTTAATTACAACATTTTTTTTTTGTGCCAATTGTATGCATTGATAATACAACACCTCAATGCTGCATTTTAAACGTCAATTTGCTGGATCTTCAACAAACAGACAAAAATTTGAATACGATTAACCGATAAAGTTCTTTGCATGAGTATATACCGTGTGCAGTAATATGAACATCTGATGAGCGATATATGCTGAGTGATAAAAAAATGATAAAAAAATTTTTTTTTATCTCTTGAGCTAAAATATAAAAGTTCTACAGATTTTTGCAGTTATATATGACCCTTTGGTTGATGACTGCGTGTATCTATCCATGTATTTTAGGTCCCGATTTTTGGGGCCTAATAAATAAAGATTGGAAAATGTGCTCTGTTGGTCGTATGCAATCGCCAATTAATATTGACCCAAAAGTTTTACTTTATGATCCTAATTTAACGCCTGTTGAAATGGAACCTACAAAGGTAAGAAAAAAAAAATTTATTTTTTTCAAAATGACATAAAAAATCTTAATGATTCTTCTTCTTTACTTTCATTTTTATTTGTCGTTAAAATAGAAAAAATTACAAGA